GATCCATTGTCGTGGGTCCCCTATAGGTTTATGGGATACGGGATTTGCCTTTTTAGAAGACCGGGATTCGTGATTTTAAAGCAAAATAGAGGCGTCATTCGAGATCGAAAGTATGCACGGGGTGCCGAAAATAACCCTCGGGAAAACGGGATTGAACGAAACTTTGAATCGGGATGACAGTATTTAACCCTATTTTGGACCCTCATTGTCCAGTTTTTGATGTGGCCTTGCATTAACATGCAGGTAGTCAAGTTGGCAATACATTTACTGTCCGTTTTTTACAACAAAGTTGCATACACTCTTGTACTGCGATTTGTTATATCGCCTTTTATTTCAGCTTTACCAAACAACTTTCTTTTTACTTTGAAGGTTTTGGTAGCACATGATGAACTGGTGATCACAACGTCATGGGACGAAACCATTCGAATGTGGAATGTCATGTCAGGTACATGTCTCTTGACTCTCAGAGGACACACAGAAGGTATTTATTTTTTCTTGTTTTATTCTTCCATCTTTTTTCTTTCCATAAATTCTTTCTTGGCGCATGCCAGTTCGTGCAGAAATTGACATAAGATTAAGGTAAAGAATAATCAGGCAACAACAGCAAACATTCATTAGAGGTTATCGTTTGTACCTATCATGTCAATGCAATGGTACTTAATTTCTATAATAAGCAAAGTTATATCATTAGCGCGATTTTCGTGGTACCCGCTTGAAATGATTGCACACAAACAAAACTAAAGAAACAAACGATCATGAATATGCGAATTTAATTGGTTTATCGAAAATGCATAAGTTAGCGACACATCTTAGCATGCAAATCATTTCCGGGTGAAGAAAAATTTCGAAAAATTTATTACCGTCATACCCACTGTAGGTGGTGATGTGATCGGCCCTCGATGACTGCTATGTAACCACAATAGCTACATGATTACTGGTAACAGTTTTCTTTCCAATTCCCAGCTGTTTACTGCTGCGATTTTGATAACAAGAAAATTATCAGCGGGGGTGGAGACGGCCTGATCAAGGTCTGGGATGCTCAGACGGGAGACAATACCTTCACTATGGTCGGACACACTGGAGAAGTGGTAAATATAACCTAGCAATAAGCAAAGGTTACGCAGTGTGGGCGACAACGATCAGGGTCAAAACGCTTTTGCGCCGTCGCTGTGGTTTGCGTAAGTTTTACGTGACAGATGGTCAAAACACGCGAGATCAGATTACGAGTGATAGAAGGTCCAAACGCGCGTGATCAAATCGCATTCTGTGTATTCCATTCATTCTTAGTTGAAGTCCAAACGAATGCTGGCTACACACGTGCGACGCATGCGTAATAACAACCAGGATATTAGGATTGCCGGCTCCTCTTGTCGCTCGCAATTATAATCCTGCATCATCCTTGTAGTATGCAGGATGTTTGTCGCATGAACCTAGTTCAGTTTAGTGGCCTTAGCTCCCACAAGTCACCTGTAGCTTAGTAGTAGAGCATCTGGACTAGTAACCAGAAGGTCATTAGGTTCGACTTATTTTGGGGGTACTCGGATTTTTTTCTTCCGAGCCGCCTGTTTCACTGACCGAAAAAGGCAACTTTCTAATATAATCCTGTGATCTCTTTTACACTGCAATATGACTGCAGCCGTTAAGACAAATGCCCCATTCAATACTGTAAGGTCAGCGATCAAATTCACGCCGTTTCGTGAACTATAGAGGGAAGAGGAAATGGTTTACGTGTAGGGTCACAGTATGAATGTAATTAAGAAGGTTGTCAGTTTTTTAGGACTGCTTTGCAGCTGTAACAAGGCCTCACAGAAATGTTTGGAAAACAAGTAACAAACAAAGTTAACGTGGAACCTAACCTTAAAACAAAAGAGCTGCGACATATAAGGGTCCAATGAAATTAGGTGCTTTAAAGAGGAGCGAGGCTGCTGTCCTTCTAATATTTGTCGCTCGTAGAACGTGGTGTCCCTCGTTCTAGTCGATGTATTAAGATTAAAAACCTAAACACTCAAATTTTAAAAAAATGTTTTAACTGCTTCTTTATAAGTTAAACCACTTCTTAGTCCGTTAATGCCCAATTTGGCATTTTATTACAGTATTGTCTTAAGTTCAACGATGAAGTCATCGTATCTGGTTCGGCTGACAGCACTGTGCGATTATGGAGCCATCAGGGTAAGACAAATGTCTTGATAGAATGTTACTGGGCTTTTTACAAGTAGCTTACAGGAGAGAGGCGTTAGAAGAGGATCTGTTATTTTTTTCAGATTTAAGTTTTGTTTAGTGAAAAAACCAAACCATACTTTTACCGATCGAAAGGAATGTTTTTGATAATATTGGAGGGCTCAGAATGGCTGTAACTTTTTTTTTTAATCGGTCCAACATTTCGCGGTATCTTTTAGACATGTTGGACCTTAGGTTTTCCGTCCTTTTTTTTTATAACCGAACGCGGGCACACAAGAGATGTTTGTTTCGAAATATTATTTTATTACTATTATCATTTATTGTCATCATCAATATTATTATTATTATTATTATTATTATTGTTATTATTATTTTGATGAATACTATTTTTGGCTGTCTTGTTTCAACATTTTGGCGGATTCTCTATACTTAAAAGCACATAAGCGGTTTTTACGTATCATTCAAAATTCGCCCAACGAATGTTACATGCCTGTCGCCTCTTTTTTTGTTTGCAGGCACTTTGCTGCACACCCTTGAGGAACATATTGGAGTCGTGCGCTGTCTGTATCTCTCAGGAAATCGACTTGTCTCTGGTGGAGACCAGAAGCGTATTGCTGTCTGGGACATAAAGGTGTGTAGAACTTCTAACTAGACTGCACACCCATATGTGTTCATAATTTCGCAAATAAGGTTATGAAGAAAAGAAGATACTTCCAATAACATAAAAGTGCAAGCTGAATAATATGTCTTGAAATAGTGCAACGTAACTGCAGCACAGTAATGTTCTGGATGGTTTACCCTTTTATTCTCCGGTTGTTCGAAAGGTGGATAGTGCTATCCAGTGGATGGATCTCTAACCAGCGGATAACGCAGTTGGCTTTCCTAATACTTACTCCGTTAAACAGGGATTTATTCGCTGGATAGTTACTTATCCGGTGGATAGTGGTATCCATCGTTTGAATGACCGGGGCCTAGGGGAAAAAATAGTCAGTAACCTATCTTTACGGGCATATTCGGGCCATCCTTAGATACAGCATCCTCACTCTATTATTTTTTCACAGGAGGGCAAGCTTTTAAGCGTTGTCTATCGTAACCCAGCTTTGCTTCACTTGATGTGGGCGGATGACACTAAATTAATAACAGCTTCCCCGGAGACCCCAGGGACAATAACCATCATTAACTACTGGTAGGTTTTTGTACTTCCTAAGTAATCTCCAAGCGCGTGGATTCAAAAGTGTGTTGCGATGTGAGACGAAGACGAACGAACGAACGAACGGAACATCTAGCATCATCGAATGTGGATCGGTGTGACATAACACGCTATTAGGCATGAGTGAACTTTCCCATTCCAGTGAGTGGTGCATGCGTGCTGCAAGTTGTTTACAGCCCTCACAGAGCCGCCTGGGGCAAGCAATGTAACAATCATCAGTCATTGATGGTCGTGAAGCAGTTATAACTGAGTGAGATTTACGAACGCCTCGAGTGCTTTGGCATAAGTACTCCTACATCCAAGTACAAATGATAGACCACTCCTTTCTATTCCTGGCACAACTGATGTAACACGCCCGAGCATATAAGCCATTGCATTGTAGAACTTTTTTTACGGTGTGTAGACAGGTTAACAGTTTTCCTGCTGGCCAATTCCCATTTATAACAACAAAGCAAAGATTTTCATCGAAAAACTCGAAATGAATGTAGCGAAAATTCACAATCAAGTAAGATCTCTGTTGAACATGGCGGCATGTTGCTAGGATGCAATTTCGAACCCAGGTCTAATAGCCGTGCGCTTGGTACAAGGGGCTCAGCTACGTCCATCGGTTTATCGTTGCACGGATGCTCGTGTTTGATGAGAGAAGACAAGATTGACCAGTCCAGATATTCGGGTTGTGGCGACTTGAAAGGCTTCACGCGACTTATGCAGAGTGAGTCTCCTTTTCGCCTCCTCGCACAAGAAGAATTTTAGTCATATATCGTAATCTTTTTCTTCATTCATCTGAAAAAGCAAGATTTATTTTTTATCGCGGGACCACGACTAGCACTTTAAGAGCAAATGTTACCAAAAATCAAACATTTTCAAAATTTCGTGGCAACAGCTCAAAAATCGATTCGGCCCATAATCTCATTTTAGGTAGACCTTTTACATTAAAATGTAAAACAAAACACTGCATAGTTCATTTTACTAAGTATCGATTAGTTTTCGAGAAAATCGATAATCACTGAATTTTGTGAAAACGCCGCCTTTTCAATGTGAAATTTAGGGCGATTAACTATGAAGTGTGATTACCGCCAAAATTAATACTTGGTATTATGCTATTGAAACCTGCAGTTTTGTAATTGCGTTCCGACATCTTGGTTTTGGAACCTGCTCTTTTGTTATCGAGTTCTGGTATCTTGCTATTAGAACCTGCTCTTTCCTGATGTGTTTTGGTTTTTTGCTACTGAATCCTGCTGTTTTGTTATTGTGTTATTGCATTTTGTTATTTTGTTCTTGCATTCTGGCATTTTGCTATTGGAACATTACAAACTGCACTTCTGTCATTTTGTTTTGAGGTCTTGCTATTGAAAACTGCTCTTTTGTTATTGCTTTGTGACATTTTGCCATTGGAACATTACGACCTACACTTTTGTTATTGTGTTCTTCTACTTTGATGGTGTTCATTACATTTTGGTGTTTTGACAAGGTAACATGCAGTTCGGCATGGCACTCAGTGACGCGTTTTTGGACACAATAATTTATTTCCCGCCAAAATAAAAATATTTTAATTTATGTAGAAATCTCGCCTTATGATTGGTTGAAAAGTAATCGTCGTCGAAAAGGCCATATGATCAACATGGCAGACCGAGAAGACTTGCAAACGCCATTTGACCGTGAAAGGGCCGTTTCTTTGCTCGAAGAAGCAACCCAGTTTCTCAGGGAATACTCAGGTGGCAGTGCTGTGTCGAATCAAAACCGTAGCGGCGAAAATTCCGAGATTCAGCCTGTGGGATCACGCCGGAATGAACCGCACAGCAGCCAAAGATTGCAGGCGAATCACACGAGGTTTCCTCACACAACAACAACAGCTTCGAGCGTATTTACACACCAGAACAGGCAAGGAAACGAAGATAACATCCTTAGCGGAAGTTTGGCACGAAACAGTGCTGCAGATGGAAGGGTACTTGATAATTTTCGAAGTCTTTTTTCACCCTATGGTCGTGGACCGTTGTCAACTAGCTCATCAAGTGTACAATCGCCATCCGCTAGTAAACGAAGGAAACGTAACACATTCTTCTTTAAAAGAGAAACTTGGACTCACGAATTTTTCTGCTTGGCAGATAAAGATCAAATGGTAGTACCCAGCAGATCTTTAAAGGTCCAACTTCAGGAGGCTGGCTTGGGCCGAAAAAAAGTATGCCTTAATGGTAGAGCAGACGCAACGGAGGTGAAGACGACTCTTGAAGAAAGCTATCCTAAGTTAAAAGAGGGTGGAGGATTTGAGATATTAAGACGTGGCCCAAGCCCTAGCGAGCTTACCTTAATTCCACCACCACCATCGGGATATACTGTAAAGTTCTTACGCGACTCCGCAGGATTGGGGCAAGCAATCGCGTTTGTGAGACCTTTGCAATGCAACCTCAACCGGGAAGCAATCAAACCTGTTTCAGACCACAGCCAGGTGGGTAATCAAAGAATTATATTATATTTACTTAGGATATTTTTTAAAGGCTACAGAGGATTGGCAAGGGAGATGAAAATCCTGTTTTATTGCGCCAAATGATCCTTCCCCCTCGTTCCTTTGAGCCCTTTGAAGGAGATTTACATGTGTAACATCTTTTATTATTCATTCAAAATATTTCCCCGTTTCTGGTTGGTTAAACACGCACAATTTACCATAACCAGCTGCTGTTCACCAAATTTGGAAAGAAACTTTGCCATATTGAAATTACTGACGTCAAAAGTGCAGCCCGCTGCAGATTATTTAACCGTTCATCTAGAAAACCTGGGGACGAGACTGTGTTATTTTTGGTGAGCAGAAAAACAAAGAGCGAATGGCAAAACTCCTTTAAGAACGGGGAAATATTTTGAATGAATAATAAAGCAATTATTGAATTCGGCTTTCCTAGGATATGACGGCCTCTGTGGATAACACCCTCCTTGATCTGCAGAATTCTTCATATCTTACGAAAGCCGAATTCAATAATTGCTAAATACACCTACGGCACACAAAGCTGTCGATTGTTTGTTTGTTATCTTTGGAACATATTAGGCAAAAGAATCTGTGACATTACCCTAACTAATATCTGTCAATGTATCATTGTATGTGTCTGTGAAACAGGATTCTGGGAGTGTTCCAAAAGTTGCTTGTATCAACTGTAGTCTTGAGATTCCAGTAACTCTTGTCAGACAACATTTGGCTGCCTGCTGCAATGACGATGATTTGTAAGTACAATGTGCATGTTAAAGTAATGAAAAATACAGTGTAGGTTGTCTTGAAAAGTGATCAAGGTTTTTTTTTTCTATCCCATTCCTTCATAGTTTGGTCACATGGTCTCACTCCTTCTTGAGTCAAAAGTGGGTACCAGAGACCTATCTGCACCTGAATAATAACTAATCCCTAAATTACAATTTCTTTTACCATCATGGCAGAATGTTGAAAAGTCAAAATGTTTGTTTCTCTGGAGAGAACTTAAAATGCCAACAAATATTTCAGTTACATACATACATTTTACATTACATTACAATATACATGTTATTACTACATTTTTAGGTAAAAGTACAATTAATACATGCCCGCGGTTAGCAAAACTAATCTAGGCGGGTCATGTTTCTATTATATCAGTTGATAGAAACAGGCAGTTTGTGCTGATTTATAATCTTATCCTTTGGGTAGGCCAGACATTGCTTGCAGTGATGGAACAACAAGTACAGAATCCATAACTCAAGTGAGGACTTAAGTCATTATACACCTGNTGTGCATGTTAAAGTAATGAAAAATACAGTGTAGGTTGTCTTGAAAAGTGATCAAGGTTTTTTTTTTCTATCCCATTCCTTCATAGTTTGGTCACATGGTCTCACTCCTTCTTGAGTCAAAAGTGGGTACCAGAGACCTATCTGCACCTGAATAATAACTAATCCCTAAATTACAATTTCTTTTACCATCATGGCAGAATGTTGAAAAGTCAAAATGTTTGTTTCTCTGGAGAGAACTTAAAATGCCAACAAATATTTCAGTTACATACATACATTTTACATTACATTACAATATACATGTTATTACTACATTTTTAGGTAAAAGTACAATTAATACATGCCCGCGGTTAGCAAAACTAATCTAGGCGGGTCATGTTTCTATTATATCAGTTGATAGAAACAGGCAGTTTGTGCTGATTTATAATCTTATCCTTTGGGTAGGCCAGACATTGCTTGCAGTGATGGAACAACAAGTACAGAATCCATAACTCAAGTGAGGACTTAAGTCATTATACACCTGTAGACTAAATTTTAGTTATACCAGATGATTCTACAGTCCAGCACACCACCTACATCTAATTCCTTTACCATCTACGTGTTTATCATTTTATACAACATGGCAATATACTTTTTATGGAATGGGTAGATTTTATATTCACTTCTATCAGTTTAGTGCTTAATATGCTGTTTGCATGAGCCATGAGTAATTTTCAATTAGGGAATTTAATAGTATTGAATCATTGTGAAACTGTAATTGGACTATTTGTCTAATTATATCAATGAGTGTAATTTTATTAGTAAAATGTTGTGCTTTTAGGCCCCTGTACTTTTAAGTTTTCCATCCAGTTCCACTAGTGATGTGCATGCCACTATCAATAACAATTTGAGTGGTGAAGAATTCAGTAGTTCCACTGCACATCCACTGTCACTGGTGAGTTTGTGTGAGGCAAAGTCATACACTTCGTAATAGATTAATTTTTCTCAGAAACGAACCACATGGAAGTTTGATGACTATGGGTTACAAACACTTGTGCCAATAGTCTATTGCCTGTAGACATAGTTTTATGTATCTTCTGCTACTAAGTACATGTAAGTTTAGTTAAAAGTGCACAGTGAAATGTGATCTCCACATGCTGTTGGAGTTGCTTTCATTATGTCTAGTACAACTGTCTTAGTTCATTGTAAGGATTTATTGTGTTCTCACGAGTAAATGATAATGCAGTGTAGTTGGTTGTGTTTGACAAGCTTTGGAGCAAAACTATGATGTAACAAAATCAGACTACATGCCATAACCAAGATGCATGTGTAATCTTACTGTATGTTTAGAACATAGTTTTGTGATGAAGTAGACCTCTAATCATTTTCATCTACTGTAGGACCCTGTTGCTGTAGCAGAGCTGCAGATCTTATTCCCAGATAAGGATGAAGATTCTCTAAGAGATGTACTTAGCATGTGTGAGGGAAACTACAGTTTAGCAGCTTCCTCGCTTGTGAACTGGGATGGTAAGTGACGCATATAGTTATCTTAAATAAACAGACCTGTTTTTCTTTACAGGGAATTGGGTTCATTGTGGGTTAAATACATTTTTTCTAACTTGTCCCATATAATGGATACATGTTCAGTGCTCATACCCCTCCTCATGGGGGATCCAGTTTTGAATCCAATACCTTGTTTTTAGATACTCTCCCAGAAATTACAGTGTACATGTAAGTCCTCTCCTAAAAATTAGTCCCCCTTGTTTTGAGTTGTACTTATACATGTATGGTAGAAAAGCTGTTCCGTATCTCACAAAAGCAACTGCCATACAGGGGAGCTACCTTGAAAGAAAGACAGATGAGGAAAGTTGTTTTTTATGCAGCGTGCAAAGAAAGTAGTGTCCGATAGCCCGGGGCTAGTGGATTTTGCTATCGGGCAAGTGAATTCTGTTTTTAACTTGCCCGACGGGCAAGTGATGTTTCTTGAGGAATTTGAATAACAGAAGAACTGTGAAATCAATTCTGCTTGGCAAAAAGGTTTGGGGCTATTGGAAATGACGTCTGGGCTAGTAAACTCTAGCTTCAGCTTGCCTGAAAGGCAAGCTGCAAAAATGATTTTCTTTGCACCCTGTTATGGCATAATGAAATGAACAGACTTTACAGACAAACCTCCTGTAAGCGCTTACAGGAGGTGGTCGCTCATAAGAGCTTAGACCCTTTTTGGTCAAAATTTTGCATCATTAGCGTATGGTAACTGCAGAGACTTGCCCAATGTTTTAAATGTCTTGTTCATGTATAAAGTCAATTTCAAGGAAAAGTCCTATCTGGTATTTTGCATATAGAAATATCTGTCTCTTTTACTATCCAGGAAAGCAATTAATGTCACAACAACTTATCCAATTTACGCTCTATTATCTGTCATTTGGTCACTTACAGAAGGGTAAAAACGAAAGAAAATTTTAAACTTGTAGCTCTAAAAGTGGTTGCGGTTGCTTACGAGAGGTGGTCGCTTACAAGAGGTTCCAAATAGAGTGATTTGACTTGGAAACTTTTGGTACTTTGGAAAATTGGTCGCTGAGGAGAGGTGGTCGCTTACGAGAGGTGTTCGCAACCAGAGGTTCAACTGTATTTATGTTACATCCACATTCTCTTTCCTCTATAGAAAACCAGGCAAGCTCATCCTCTTATCTGGTAGATGAGAGTAAGGATGATGACAATGAGAGGGACTTGATGCAATCAGCATTCAGTTTGAATTATTCGAGTAATTCAGGTATTGGATTTATTTGTAGATATACGTCCCTCAGTTTTTTATCCAGGTTAGCGCCCATATGGCTGTTTAAATCTTACACTACACATGAACATGTAAAAGATACATGTGTGCATGTACATTATTTTCTTTTCCAATAGCTGTTGTTGTGCTGTTGTTTGTGTATAACTTCTTGAGTAAATAAAATGTGTGCTGCTGGTGAAGTGTAACTGAATATGAACTGCCTATACTTTTATTTGTATTTCTTTAGTTGAAGATCTACAAAGTATCATGGGGAAGCATAGACAACAACTGGACTCTCAAGAATGCAACAGATTGAGTGTAGACCGGGAGCAATTCTGGGAAGACTGTGTGGTGTTCTTTAAAAACCCAAAGTTTAATCCAAGATATCCCTTGAGAATCAGATTTGCTGGTGAAGTTGGGCTTGATGCTGGAGGACTACGTCGTGAATTTGGCTCTCTCTTAGTCAGTAAATTGTTCTCCTCAGAAGTCATGTTATTTGAGGGTAGTGATGATCGAAAAGTTCCTGTATACAATGCTGATGCTGTACATTCAAACCTTTTCCACTTAGCCGGAAAGATTTGTGCCTACCTATTGTCCCACCTAGACCTTGGTGTATCTTGCCTTAGTCCAGTGATTTATTCTTACATTACAACTGATGAAGTCCATGAAGCATCAAAGCAATGCACCCTGGAAGATATACCAGACTACGACTTGCGTAAATTCATTGAAGAGGTATACATGTGGATGCAACTTGTAAAGCTGCCTTTCTTTTGGATTCTAGTATTTCCGAAGTTCACATTATCTTCATATGTTTGTAACTTATTTACATTTTGAACCTTATTGCAAACTGNTTTCTTTAGTTGAAGATCTACAAAGTATCATGGGGAAGCATAGACAACAACTGGACTCTCAAGAATGCAACAGATTGAGTGTAGACCGGGAGCAATTCTGGGAAGACTGTGTGGTGTTCTTTAAAAACCCAAAGTTTAATCCAAGATATCCCTTGAGAATCAGATTTGCTGGTGAAGTTGGGCTTGATGCTGGAGGACTACGTCGTGAATTTGGCTCTCTCTTAGTCAGTAAATTGTTCTCCTCAGAAGTCATGTTATTTGAGGGTAGTGATGATCGAAAAGTTCCTGTATACAATGCTGATGCTGTACATTCAAACCTTTTCCACTTAGCCGGAAAGATTTGTGCCTACCTATTGTCCCACCTAGACCTTGGTGTATCTTGCCTTAGTCCAGTGATTTATTCTTACATTACAACTGATGAAGTCCATGAAGCATCAAAGCAATGCACCCTGGAAGATATACCAGACTACGACTTGCGTAAATTCATTGAAGAGGTATACATGTGGATGCAACTTGTAAAGCTGCCTTTCTTTTGGATTCTAGTATTTCCGAAGTTCACATTATCTTCATATGTTTGTAACTTATTTACATTTTGAACCTTATTGCAAACTGCTAGGTGGTGGTGGCCCCAGCACAAATTAAAGTTTGGGTCCCTCTTACATGATTGCTATGATGTAGTCCCCCCCAAAGAATAACACAAAAAACTCTTTAACAGTAAGTGGGCTTAGAATTAAAAGACGGTTTCCTTGTGGCAAGTTTACAAAGGGACCTGAAAAAATATTCAGCCATTCTCACATGTTATACAAGGAGAACTTACACGGATACCTTCTCAATTCTGAGGATTAATATTGCTAGTTTACAATAGTCGTGCTAGAAAAATAGTATTTTTTTATTGTATGTGTTTAACACTCGTATATTACTTTGATTAAATAAACAATAGCCTCCATTCGGCGCGAAAATATACTAGGATATTTGTACGCGGACATTATCTGCTCCGAGAAGCGAACAGTTTTCCGAGAGCGTAGCTCGAGGGAAACTGAGCTTCGAGGAACAGATAATGTCCAAGGACAAATATCCGAACATATTTTCGCCCCAAATGAAGTCTATTGTGTTTATTATCCTTCAAATCTTTTTCGCAACGCACGAAGTTTTGAAAATTGGGGAATATTCTTGGATATTCCCCAGTTTTAGCTGGGGAATATTCGGTCATGTGACGTGTTTAGACCAATCACGCGCGAGCGAAAATATTTGATGGATTATGATTGGGAATATCTTTGAACATGTAGGTGAATAACGCGAGCTCTAATGACGAACTTCAGAGAGTCTTGGATGGGAATGATCAAACGGACGCACTGCTAGCAGGAGGATGGGTGCGCGTCTTAACCGTGGAAAATAAAGGCTTGGCAATGTGGCAGTTGATGATACATGAAGTTATTTTGAAGAGAAAAGTAGCACTTGACCAGTTTTGTGCAGGTTTAAAGGTTCTGGGTGTCCGCGAATTGTTGATGGCTCACAGCAAAATGATGGAACCCTACTTTGTTGCAAGGGAGCAAACTCCTCTCAGTGCCAATGCTGTTCTTGGACTGTTCGAAGACATCTCACAGCAACAGTCAGATGCCAAAAAGGAGCAAGCCCGGCAGCATCTGATCAAGGCTATAACAGATCTGGATGTTGAAGGTGCAGTTATGTTAGAATACTTTATATTCTATTTTATTTGTTCTATTTTAATCAGTATCTTTATTCACACGACCCCACAAGTTTTATGCTTTAGCTATCTTGTTTTTGAATACTTCCTTATAATAATGCACATGGCTTTACAGAAGGCACTGCCTCGTTTGGTTTGTCCTCACTGGCATTGATGTAGCAGTGATGTAGGATGAAAATAATATCAATTGTCATGTCCTTGATGTTAACTTACGGAGCACTTAAGGGGAAAGGAAAAAGGAAAAGCACCTACATCCCTCCCTGTTTTTATAGATTTTAGATTTGATGTTAAAAAGTGTCTTGTTTCCTTTCCTTGTTGCAGATTCCAAGACCGACCTTCAACATTTTCTGCACTTCTTGACAGGCCTTTATAGAATTCCACCATTGGGACTAGAAACGCATCTAACAATCACTTATAAGGAGGACACGTCTAAGACTCTTCATGCGGAAACTTGTGCGTACAACTTGAATGTACCTACAGTCCATGATACCTATGAAGAATTCCAGCACTATTTTCTTCTGACCTGCCGAGTTGGTTATGTGGGCTTTGGCTTAGTTTAGCGTCACTTGTAATACCGCTTTAGGCTTACTAGCCTAATACCCAGTCTTTGGGCCTTGATATCAATGTTTGCAAGGATCTTCTGAACTAGCCACTGTTAAAAAAAATTCTTGTTGTGTTTCATTAGGTAACGGACCAAATATACCTCCTATAATACAATCCTGTTGAGTTTTAACTTGATTTCCTTATTGATGTTATTGACAGTAATGACTACGATGACTTCGTTATTTATGCATGTAACGAAGTGCGGCCTAGAACAGAAACTTCTACACTAGGAGTTCATGGTTTCGTTCATTTTAGTTCGCATCAATTTAGGTATTTGTTATTTCAGTGGAACGCAAGGATGTGATTTTGATATTTAAATTGTTATTTTCAATACCTTATATCAACATTCCTGGTATACGTAGTCTCGAGAAAGAGCTTAATAGTTCCTGTTTAGCACTATCCCAATGTTGTAATCACAAAGAAGCTTGCAACATTGTTGCTAAACGTTATGATGATCATGGAAAAAATTTGTCAAAGTTTATACCTGACAAATAAAGTTGTTTTTAAACATCTGATTTCCTTTATTCTATCCCAGTGACATCTTCACTGTCATCAAAGTCAGACGTTCCTCCATTGTTGCATGAATGATAGTGCATTCAAGTAAATATCGACACCATAATACATGGAAGGTTCAGCAGGATCCACTTGCCTGGCAAGTGCCTGTACGCCTTGGGAGTCGAGAGCGCAAAACGTTTCTGGAACCTGAACAATAACGCTGTCATCTTCAACTACTCCGTCCCACTCTTCGGATGGGGCAGGTCCGTCCCAGTCGATGCCATATGCATTTACATTCACCTGCAAAAAATGTATACTGCATGTAGTTATGTTTCTTTGATTGCTCAGGCTAACGTGTTATCGCACACATACAGTGTAAGTAGACTCCTCCACAAACAAACACAAAACTACACACGTGTATGTATACCCGCGGGTCCAAATTTTGCATTGTATGAACTTGATTAATATATCATCAGAAATTGAATACCTGGCCATTGAACTCTTCTGCAATTCTTCCAGTGGAATTTGACAGCATTCCTCTAATCCATAGTTGTTCTGGCGATTGGTTATGCTCAGTACTAAGTGGTCCCTTGTTGTGACCCTCGGCAAACAGGGACAGGTTTCTGTTAATACGGGGTAAGAACACATAATGGAGTGCAGCCAAATGAAGCTCGTTTGTGATGTCTAGAACTCCGCATGCTTCCATATAACAAAACAAATGGTAGAAAACAAATATACACCCAGAGAACATGTCCCTCCACAACCTCTCTATTCTCTGGTTGTGGACACTTCGTCCGGTGATGTGGCTTCCACGATCCGGCCCTCGTAATGGGTGCGATAGCATGAACCATGCTACGTCAGTATTTTCTTTACCTTTGTCTGAACGTACTCTAGAAGGAAGGCCAAACTTTTCGACTGCTGACTGAAATGCATCAAAAACAGTGCTGGCCCTGTTGTTCGTTGAACATCGTAGAAATACTATCATTCGAGAGAAACCGTCGATCCCGCCGTGAATGACAAACCGCCATCTGAAGAGCAACGTGCCAAACACGTTACACAGAAATCGTTAAGATAGCATCAAAAGTACTAAAGGTGGTTTTAGAAGTTAGTTGTTAGTGGAACGCGTATAGAGGTTTTTTGTTCTAGCTCTACCACCGCCCTGGGGTAAGGTTTACGGTTAGAAAAACAACCCTCCTTCACCGTTCCGTTGTTATCCGTTACACGTTTTCCTAACAGGCCTTAATTTTTCCCAAACAAATTTGTCTTAGGAGAGGCAGAGGCTAGAAGGGAAGTAATGAAAGCCACACAGCTGTAACTTCGATAAAAAAGAAATCAGTTCAAACTAACTTACATGATTTAGAATTGTTCTCTCTAATGGGCATAACCCTCGTTTTCACTGATAGATAATGACCGTCTCAATTTCAACAGCAATAACACCCCCCCC